TTTGTTGCTTAGAAACACGGATCAATTACAGCAGTAATTAGAGACCCAAGCAAAGCCACTGTCCTCTGGGAAATTCTGTTTTTGTAACTTATACAGTCAGAATGTGATTATGAAATGTAAGCTGGGTCTGCTAAGCTTACACTCTTAAAAATAAAGGTGCTTAAAAGGTTTTTCACAGTGATGTTCCACAAAGAACCATTCAGTCAAGGGTTCTTTAAAGAACCATGTCTTTCTTAGCTTTTTGTAATCTGTAGAACCTTCTTTCGCCACAAAGAACCTTTTGTGAAACAGAAAGGTTCTTCAGATGTTAAAGGTTCTTTATGAGACCATTTAGACAAAAAGATTCTTCTATGGCATCGTGAAGCACCTTTATTTTTAAGAGTGTATTTATGTCTCATTTACCCTTAAGCTGAGTCAGAATCGACACAGACTGATTTCAGCTTAACTTACAATGACAAAAAGTCTAGATTGATCATTGCTGAATTCATGCAAGCTTCATTCTCAACAACATCACTATGAGGTTATCGCTGCCCACTTTAACCGAGCTCTTGCCTTGGGCTCTGTTAAATATTCATCTACATAAGATGCTTGAGTTACAGGTGGCTGACTTTGTCCATCTCTGCTGAATTAAACTTGAAGTGAATGAAGTTAGGTAGCTATGAATATGAAAACCAAATCATTTATCAGAAGATTCTGAGAGGACACAAATTGGGAGCTTTATTTCAATACTTTGTTTTTCGTTCTCCACAGATTAATATACGCTGCAAAAATCTTTATTTATTTGTTAAATGAACAGCAAAGCAACATACAGATATTCAAATCAACATTCCACCAGCTGCTATTACTCCACCATTAAGATCTTCCGTTCAGGTGATATGAACCAAGTTTGCCAACCAATATGTTGCAGAATGTTCATTTTGGTTATTTTGCCAACACCATTGTAATGACAACCGCTTCATGCAGCTGAGATTAAATTTATACGTTGTTCTATCACTCATTACAAAATGTTGCATTGGCCTTAGTACAGGGTTTTTCCAGAGTCTCCCTAACTACAAATTGATCTGTTCCATTGGGGGAACACCTTGATCTCTGGAATGAATGAGAAATGCCCATATTTTATTATTGGATCGGATACAATAGATGTCAGAACATGCATCCCTTCCCATTTTTGTGATGGTTATCTTTTTGAAGGATGGGTACAATAAACACCAGGTGGAATTTCCCCTACTACACACACAAACGTTTGTTCACACATACACACGTGTACATGTTTGACTTGCATAAGATTCAGTTGCAAGCTTGTTTCTAATTATCATCAATGACAGACCTTTTCATATTCATGAATCAACACACTAATTCTGCATTACATTTGCTGTGATATTAGGAAAGTTGTTTGTTGGAAGGTTTCAGCATTTTCTCTCTGTACTCCCAAATTGCAATTCATCAGTAAAATCTGCTGATAAATCATAAAAAGAATTCATTTCACAATTGTCAGGGGGATCACTTGCATTTTGCTTTTATGTGGACAAGCTGTTCTTTGACTGCCAATGAATATCATACCTCTTAATGGCCCAGGAGTCCAAAATGACAATTACTGAGATGAGAGACTTTGAGAGACGTTTAGTTGTTATTACACAATACTGTGTTAAAGCTTCTATCCGACCCAGCCCTGTGTGCAGGTGCTGGAAAATTCCACAAAGATTATTCATATGTATGTGCAGTTAAGGCAAAGGCGGTGTTGGCGTAAAAGAGAAAATCACGGTCTTGTATAAAAGACTAAGAAAAAAAATTCCAGCGTTGAGTGAGCATCAAATACGTTACGAAATCCTTAGGCCTCAGCATCAGCAGAAAGATTAAGTGTTTGGTTAATTGCTCTCTGACTTTTAGTTGTAGTAGGTCTTCAGGTATGAGACAAGCCAGGATCAATTCAAATGAATTGACTTGCATTTCCTGATTGCAGATGAGGGAGCAGGCAGAGAGTAAAAACCAGGATGTGTGCGTCATTGATGACATCTTCAGCTGTCTACGCAACCCGCTATTAATCACAATACAGGACTAGTGCAGAGCTCTCTTAACGTTATCTTTGAATGATTTGTAAAGTTTAATTTCTTTAATGCAGTGAGTACCCCACTAAAAATGCTGAATGTAAAGCAGTGAGTCAGTGTTCTACAGTGCAATAGCAAAACCAGAGCAGATATATGATAAAATAATAATTGACTGCACAAATCCTGTCGCAAATACTGAAAAACCACCACAAACATGCATGCCTTTTTTTTTTACACATAAATATTTCTTGCACTAGGTATTAACACTGAAAAAGGGGTGATCATAATATTGAATTTAATACAAGAAGTCAAAGTTGCAACCCTTTTGGGCAACAAATTAATCTATATCTCACATAAGAGGGCACAAAATGATAATATAATTAATTAATAATAAAATATATTGACTAAAAGTATATTGACTATATATGACTAATCACAAAGAAATAAATAACCAGATATTTTAATGGAATAGTTTTCTACACATACTGTATTTTGGATATTCCAGTAGGTTTACAATTAATTCGTGTTAACTTTTTGCCAACAGCCCAGAGATAAAAGAGATACAGCATCAGAAAAATAATGACTTTTATGTTTCAAAATCAATGATTTTGCTGATCATTTCTCATGGCATGGAGTCAGATATGGAGATAACTCTATTTAGAATATGCTAATAAGATTGAATAATGTAGTGTAAAATGCTGCAAATGTTTTTATCCAAAGTGCCAGGGCATTCATTGTGCACTTTTATATATTATATTTTTATGTGCATGTATCCTGAGCAAATATTAACACTGCAACTCATTAAAGCACACTTTCAACTTTAGATATTTGTTTGCTGCCCTTTATTTGTTGTTGTCGTTCATAATAAATAATGAACAATAAATGCAGCTTTCTTTCTGCACAGTAAAACCAATCGGTTGCTTTGTATGAGTTCATTAGCAGGGACAATAAACATTTGACCAAATTAGAAAATCGCGAAACTGTTGAAATGAACTATTCAATTGGTTTGGACAAGTAACAAGTTATACCATCATTTAGACAGGAAGTATTATGCTAAAGTATATATGCACCCCAGAAATATGTTTGTAGTTCATTGCTTTGCCTCCTGAGTTTTATTAGCAAGCCTGCATCTATTTTAAGTGATAAGAGATGAGGTACTTTGGAGTATCACTGTAAAACCTTCCTGAGCAAAGGGCTTAAAGTGATTTGGACATCCTGCTGAATAAGAATGGTTGAAAGTAACTTTGAGGTAAGAACCTGCCGAATGAGGGGCTCTATAGTGGCTCACCCCAGGTTTCCCGCTGGTCCTTTAGCACCAGTGCCCATTGATATTCAGCACTATTGACGTCACATGTTTGCAAGGAGTCCCTCTGCAGCTGTGAGAACCAGAACACTGAGATCAGGAGCAGACAATGTAGGAAGTGCATTCAGTCATTTTTCCAGGCTCCCTCTGCTGCTGGCATTCAATAAGGAAAAGCAATAAGAAGAGTCTGGCTGGAAATGCTTTGATACTCTAGTTGTAGGTGTCACGTGTGTAATCAGACCTGTCACTACTGTGTATGCTTCCTATTATTCATCAGTGCTACAAAATATCCTCCCTAAATTCATCCGTGTACTCATGTGAGGGTTATTTCACAAAAGAAGTGCTTTAAGATTTTAAAACCTAAATTTATTGTTAAACAAAGAATGTCTTCAAGTGTTAAGTGTTTTTTTTTTTTATCAATATAGTTGAAGGCAGTTTTACTGTTCATTTATCCATTATTATCTGTGTATTTAAGGTCACAATAAGGTGTTTATTATAAGAGAAAATATAACATTAAGTAATAATAATACAAAAGAAACATTTACTTGTGCTTTAGAGTTCATCCTGAAAGGATGATGTCATTTATGAGTGTATTTATTTATTTATTTATTTATTTAGCCTATAGACCTGCAGATACAAAAAAATATGAAAAATAAATCGAAAGATTTTAACTGGAGACTGGTCACAAAGGCATCCTTGTGGAGAAAGAAAACTAAAACATTTACCTTTATATTTAATTATTATTATTGTTTTAATGAATGTCGTTTTTGTTCCTTAGTGTCAGCTTTTCATCGTTAAAGTCGTTATTTACACATACATTATCATTAAGCATACAAAAGCATCATTTTCTTTAAATCTTACATTCATACATTTTGTCTACTGTACCTTCTCGTTCTCGCCATCAGCATGCGTTTGGCTTTCTGTCAGTCTGCCTCCTCCGCCAGCGCTGCGCATGTTAATAGGTCGATGTGGACAAAGGAAAGAACAATAAAAATATTTAACGTGCCTGACCATATTTTGTTTTTTCTTGAGAGTTCATGGTGTAGCCGCTAGAGGGTTCTCAACGCAGCGGTGCGCAAAATAAAAACACCGTCCCGGTTCAGACACGCACTGAGAAACAAAACAGCAAGCAGGTTACCTGCGACTCCTGTTAGAATGAACAGGATGAATTCATACTATATGCTTTCTTCCAGATAAAAAACAATGTGACGTAACGAGCAGTCGGACTGGGGATGTGAGGTGTTATTTCAACTTTAATGTAGCCTACGCGAATCCCTCGTAAGAATAGAAATACACGCCGGTCTCGCCACTGACCCCCCTCAAACACTCGTCCATGTACGCCTAGAGTTGTGCATGCGATATGTTTGAGCAACGCGTTTTCGCCAAGTTTATTTGAAATGCGGATGAAGAAAAAGTGAAAGGGAAATTATTTTGACCTCTCCACACTGATTGATTACTCAGTCATCCCTGCAGTTTAATGGGATCCATTCAATTGGGAAGGTGGAGCACTTGGGTGAATTAACATACCCCCCCCCCCCCCCAATCTGTGTTGAAGTGTCTTTGAAAGGGGCAAGGAAAGGGGGTCGTGGCTTAACATTATAAAGGAAAAAATAAGACAGCATTGCTGTCTTAGTTGGTGTTGAATACGCGTCTTGACAGGCTTTTGTAAAAGCAAAAGACCGGGAGAGATCTCCAAAGACGAGCGCTATTTAGTATTTTGAAATCATCAAATCCCCTATCCATTGACAAAAAAATTATTTTCTCCACTTGAAAATGAAACTTTTGCCCATTTGCACTTGGCTCCTATGCCTTTTGCTTTTTATCGTGTGCTTGGGATCTGAGTGTGGGACTCCACGGCGAATTTTAAGGTCTAAAAGAGACTTGGTACGCATCAGGGAAGCCAGAAGTACCTTCCCAGGACCTTGTGCCACACGCCTGCCTCGGGGCAGACGCTCACTTCCCGGGATAGATCGGCGCTCCTCTCGCCTGTCACAGGCGGGGGAAAGCAGCCCAGGTCGGCGGAGGGCTGTTTACTTTACCGGTCGAGGAGACCAACTGCGTCTGAAACCCAATGCAGAGGTGCCAAGGGGAAATTTCACCCTGGAAATGTGGATAAAACCTGAGGGTGGGCAGCGCACTCCAGCTGTTATCGGAGGTTTGCTTTGCTTAATTATGACTTGCATTATATTCACTGCAGAAATCATTTCATAGTGTCGGCTAACTGCAGCATGCCCGCGCTTCATAAATCACCTCTAGTGTGCGAATAGTTGCATAAACACTTACCACTAGCACTTCTTTATATCACTTTCACTATTTATGAGCTAACGCGAGCACGTACCGAGAATAGTTAACAAATAACCGATCTTTCTAGATGCGCCTTTGCTCTTGATGTTTTCTAGCAAAATAAAAACTCTCTTGGGTTTTGCATGCGGTTGGCAGATGCAACTTTTGGTAGCATCTTGTAGTTTTAACGTTGCCCATTTAAACCGCCTTTAGTTATTCATCTTTGAACGGTTCGTGGAGGTGATGTGGAGTAAAGCAACTCGTATTGTAACCCAAATATCGTATGTGTTGGTGTGCTATTTAAGTCATGGCGTTTAAAGATTTTGATTTGTTTATTTATTATTATTTTACTTTTTTTATTCTTTAAATCTTTAAAACTGCATTTTTAAGTGTCTGCAAGAAAAAAACACGATAGCGGCGTAATCTGTAGATTTGTCTATATGATGCTGTATGATTAAGTGTCTGTGTCAGAAATCGCTTAAACAAATACGTCATCCCTTTGATGCATAGGCTACAGTGTTCCTTACGTGCTCTGCACCCTATATAGCCTACCAAACTGAACACTACAGCGGGTGCTTATTTTTCTTTAGTCTTTATGCATGCCTGTTTATAATTATATGTGGCTGTAAAATGTGCTTTGAAAGTATGCACCTACCACTAACGAAGCGCTTGTAATTTACAATCGAATAACAAAATCCGTACGCTTTTTTTCTTTGAAAAATCTCTATTTACGCACATTACGCATTATCCTTATGGGGATGGAGTAGCATAGGTGGGCGTGTTAGTTGCTCGGTTGTATTATCTTTGTTTTTTCTTCAATCAAATCTATGTGATTTCTTTTCCCCCCATCCCTTTTCCAGCCAACAGAGAGCGTAATACCCGTGGAGTCGGTTTATGGATCCTGCGTGCACCCCGTGAACCCCTATAGCACGCAATTTTGTGCGAACATAAACGAAAATGTACTGTAATGATGTACAAATCAAATCATTTTTATTATCTCTCTAAAATGCTTGGGGGTCACTAAAAGGCTACATAAAATGCGAACCCACGTGTAGTTTTTGAGTTTACTTTTCTAACATGGATGTCATTAGAAATCTACAAAAGAACCACATGCTTAGTTCTTATTTTCTCAAATATTAGACAAAAAGTCTTACATAGATTAAATGTAAAACGTTCACTTTATATCCAAGTTAAAACATTACAAGATGAAATATAGCCTATATATATATATATATATATATATATATATATATATATATATATATATATAAATAATTAGTCAGTCATGCACATGCAATTCAGTGATAGATTTCAAGATGCATGATTTAAATTGCAAATTGTAGACTCAGGACATTGCAAATTAATGTAATTATATACAGTTGGGTACGTCGTCTTTAAATAAGCTTTATATCTCCAGAGGGCTGCATGATAATGGATTGATTGAATACATCTTGTCAGTGAGTCATCTAAAATTAGTCCACTCCTCTGTCCTCAAAATGATCTCCTTAGTCACAGTAACGTTAAGAAGCAACAAGGGGGCGCTGGCAGAGTTTATATAGCTTCTCCAACTGCGCATCTATAATAGTGTTGTTTAGCGAATTTCGTTTTAAACAAAGCATTAAATGTTTGCGGTCCGTCTAAGTTGTGGCCCTCGTATATCTGCTGTCGGGTTTTAACCCGCAAATATGTGCTGTTTTGGAATCAGAATTCTTCAGGTATAGGATTATGAGAAGGAAATGCTTTAAGTGTCAGCCCAGATGGAGGAAGCTATAAAATCAGTGCCTTGTCCATCCTTTCTTCAAGCGGTTTTGTTATTGCTTGTTCTTGTAAAGATATTACAGTCCTTGCCACAAAACATCATGGAACGAACTCCTGCTTTCAGTCAATCAGATCCTCAGACGCAAGAGCGCACAGAGAGGCGCTGAGCCTGTTTTCAGACAGATGACATTTTTACTAGAGGTTTTACAGTATGTCTGCTGACGTAAGTCCGAAGTTGAACGCAGTCTGATTTTAAATGTAAGTTCATACATTTTGCTTTTCATTGTTGTCATTGAGGATGCTGTGTAGTACACAGTGGGATGGGGTATTTTATGGCACATTACAATAACTTAATAAGCACCTCATAAAACTGTCAATAGCACAGCTTAGAGGTTTGTAATGATGGCCATAAAAATTTAAATATTCTATTGTCATGTTACTAAGCAGGATGATTTATGTTTGGTTAACAGATATGTCATGTTTCTACAATGGTAAAATATACTTTGTGAGAGGTTTATGAAGATGAGATTTATTTTTAAATATATTAATATATATATAGGCTAATAAAAATATAGCAATAAATAAAAATTATATATACATTGAAAATATATATATATACTGTATATATATATATATATATATATATATATATATATATATATATATATATATATA